ATGGAGGAGGAGGGGGTGCGGCGGCCGGGATCGGGAACCCTCCCCGACGCCTCGCGGGTGGCGGCGGGGGAGGGAGGGGAGGGAGCAATGGTAGAATAGGATTGACATCTTACTATTGTTAGGAAAACAACAAGTGTAGACATGGAAACGAGAGGGAATAGAACCCAGAAGTTAAGCGTGCTCAGGCTGGAGTAGTGAGAGGATGGATGACCGACCGGGAAGTTAGATGATTTGAAATGATGAGGGGTGATTAGAGATTAAATTGTAAAATAATTTAGAAATTTGAAAATCATGAATTTAAAAAAAAATAAAAAATCCGTAAATTTTCCTTTAGTCTTGGTTGGTGTTACCAACCGGGATTAAATGTGGAGCTCCAGACAATGGCCACGTGGAGAGCCTTGTTACGAACCGGGACTAAAGGCCCTTTGAAAGTAGGACAAATGGGCATTTTTCTACTAATGTATGTTCCAACATAATTTTGTACGCTTTAGACTTGTTTGTAAATTTACGTACTGTGACTTCTTTTAACCAAGATTCATTACGTGCAAATTGTACAAGATGTTCCATGATGTGCCATAGTGTTCCATAACGTTTCAATCACTAGTTTTACATTGGGTACCTTGGTGTATCATATTGTTACATTGTGTGCCAATGGGCATCAAGCTGATGCATATGGAACTTGGTAAAACTTGGCAGAAATTGAATATGACGAATTTGTAAGTGTCCTTTGTTCTTATCAAGTTTTATTAGTTTTTTGTGTTCTAGAATGCATTACTTTGTTTTACCGTGTTTCACCATGTTTGGGAATTCAAATTTTAAAACCTATCAAATACATTCAAGAGTGATCTTGTTTCAAAGTCGTCATTGCAAGGAGCACAGATATGCAAATGAAACATAAATTAGACTTTCAGTTGAAAAGATATAATAAATTCACAATTGGAAATCAAATGAAAAAGTACGGGAGAGTGGAACTAGCATGATGAGATGGGCGGAGCATGCAATCTCTGGCAAAAACACGCATGCATGGGATGAAGGCGGTTGATGGGATGATAAATCACAAAGTGGCATTTCTACCGGTAATGACCAATACTAAACATACTTGGAAGGCAAGCACGCATGCACAGGAATCTCTAACAGGATCGATGGCACGGGATATCCTGTCAATGGTAGAATTGCTTTTCCCGAAAATTGGAGCGGCCTATTTGAACTCAACCGCATTTTTAGTGTGCCAATGGTTGAACCTGTGAACCATTATATCAAGACCCAATGGAAGTAAAGAAATTTGGAGAAACCCTAAAGGAGCTGATTTACCGTTCTATCAAAGGTTTTTATCCAAGGTCATTAAATGGCTTAACTTTGCTGTCCTCGCCTTCATTCCCAAGGCCCATATGCCGCGAAAACATTAGCCAATTTCTGCCAGTCATTTTTATTAATGTTGGCTTTAAATTCTTTTCCAATGGATATGTGATCCGCCTTTCTCTAGTAGCTCATTAACCATTTGTACAACTTAGACTGTGCAGGGCTGTAATATTTTGGGCACAGTTCTTATTCTCCCGGTGATCGTTGCACAACCTTTTCTGTTGAGGGAGCAAGATGATCATCCTAAAATTAGTTTCTAAAAATCATATGACAAAGTTCACTAGTCTTTCCTGAGAGTGTTCTTCCTAGGAAGGATTTTGATCAAGGCTAGGTCCATAGAATTATGCAACTTATTTATGGGGGACAAACTACAATGTCTATTGATGGAAGTCGATCCTTTTTCATGTAATGTTCATGGCCTTTGTTAGGGACACCCATCTCTCTTTTCTCTTGGCAATGTGATAACAAGGCAAAACCTTATTGCAGAGTTGCCACAACAACTAACTACCGGAACTG